AGGTAACGCGAGATACGGCTGTACTTGCGCATTAGTTTCTGTTATGGATCAGTATCAACAGTCCTGCCAGTAACGTTACTACTGTATATTATCAATGCTACTTTAGTTATAGCCTGATATATGATAGCTAACTTCACAATGTTGTGATGTGACGTTAGCTAACATTCTGTAGCTAACGCCGGTCACTCACCAAGATAGCTGCCCAGTTCTCCACTGGTTCTCCTCACACCACAGCTCAATTTCTCTCCGATGGCCGTTATTTCTTCTAATCCTTGGCTGCTCCTGGTCTCTTGGACACCTAGCAGGCTCATAATTATAAGGTTGTGGTCTGTCATATGCATTCGAATATTCATGTTCAACTTCTTCTGTGTCTTCTGTGTCGAAATTAGCATTGGGAGCCATGTTTATTAATACGTTACACCGGCCGCTCTCCCCCTTGTTTCCCCCATGTTACGTCACACGCGGGAGGTCACGTGCCGAGGCTTTTTTATGCGGAAGTGAACATTTCTTACAAAAACGACGCAAGATGTCACTGTAGTGTATATTTCTGTATATTTTTTTGAAAATCTAGTGTATTCATCATTTTCCTACACATTTATTCACAGGTGTCTTTAACCTGGAAGTTGCTCTTTAAGGAAAAAACATTTAAGCATTTACTGCTTTAATAGAGATTTTACAGCCCGTCTGTTTGCCTGTACTCAGCTTTGAGATATACCACCTGTTTGTCAAGTGTGAAAAGATCTAGAGAAACTTTATGAAAAAGAACACATTTCTATGACCAATCGTATTTTGGGTGTCATTGGGAAACTTCCCATTTTCACAGCAAGATTTAAGCTGCTATTTACCAAGTTTTTACTTTATGACCAGCCTCTTTATCTAATGGCCAGATAAAGAATTTCGGTTATGGACAATTTAAGGTTTAAGATGAGCGTGTTTTAAGGACAAGCGCTGGTGGAATTTGTCAACGCACCTTCGACCGTACAAAGTATGAGTGATAAGAGTGCTGCTGCGGTAACGTATGAATGAAATGAGAGGAAGGGACAAAGGGAGGACGTGAGAGGAAGACAGACGGGGGGAGAATCACAGAAGACAGACGGTAGTGAGACATTTGCCTCGGACGGCTGCTCTTGTATGAACCCGCTGTGATTGAGAGCGCAAGCCTCATCGCCTTAAGAGGTTATGTAACACAGAGGGGGAATCCAATTATGTGTGTGTGTGGAAGAGAGAAAGTGTGTGCATGTGAAATAAAGTGTGCGACAGAAAGAAGGTAAAGATTAAGCAAGAATAACAACTGAAGGAAATAAAATGTGTATGAGTTAATCTGTGATTAAGAGAGAAATAAAGTGTGAGATAGGAAAGGATAAATCAAGAATAATAAAAACAAGGAGAGGATACATTGTGTGTAAGTGTGTGTATGTTCAAAACTGTGAGTTAAATAATTAGAGTTTGAGAGTGCTTGTGTGTTATTACAAGTGTGTGTGTGTGTGTGTGTGTGTGTGTGTGTGTGTGTGTGTGTGTGTGTGTGTGTGTGTGTGTGTGTGTGTGTGTGTCCTGGCCATGCAGAAATGATGACCCCAGTATTTATGTGGCCCCGAAGCGTCGCTAGGCATCTTTTATTAACTAGAGTTTGGCCGAGCCTGACCCATTTGAGATTAGGTTGTGTGTGTTTGCAGACAGCCATGTGTTTTAACCACGCTTATCTGCTCGTGTGTGAGCCAGCAGTATGTCTCTGCCCACATGTGTCCCTGTG